GGACTACGCAAAGTGTTAAGGTCATTTTGCATGCATAATTTCAATCCTCACACTCGGTCTTATTTTATAAGTGAATAGATTAAAGAACTTACAAAGGTCATAGAGTTAGTAAATAAAGCAGAATTCATACCCAGTTGGATACCTTCTTTAAATCTTCATTGCCTCATTGTTTTTTCTGCTCTCACTCATACCCCAGTCTTGGCTGCAGCATAAATTGGATGAAATTTGGGTTTTGTATACAATACTAGTGATTAGATCATGGCTGGGTTAGTGGGCTGCATCGGTAGAGTTTACTGAAGCTTTATTTCTCCTGTGTCTCAACAGATCTTCTGGGTCTTGAGAATAGGGCTGAACATCCTGTTACAGGTTTGTCCTGTGAACACACTTAATTTTCACTTTAGTATAGTGTACTGCTGAAGTACTGTTACACGTACGTGACACTCTTCCTTGTAGAAGTCAAGATAGTCAGTGGTGGATCGAAGAACAGTTAACTCTGGAAAACAATTGAAAACTGCTGAATGCTCAAGTGTCCTCCAAGCACCTGTTGAGTTCATAACTGATACTGGCATTATCTTAAAATATAGACAGGATCCTTTTAGAAAAGTGAGTGAACTGCTAGAACTGAGAAATGGCTCCCTCCTGAAGGAGGAGCCGCTGGCCAAAACATGGTCATAGCCCCTGGAGGCTAGTGCGGAAGTAGCAAAGGTCTGTAGGTGAATGGCAGGGGGAAGGGAATTTTTATTTGTTGAAAATTTTATGTATTGAAGGCACTTAACTCAGTGTGTTTTACGTATCTGTTACCTTGTAAGGTCTTCACACAATCCTTTTATGGTAGTTGTAAGTATTATTCCCATTTTTCAGATGAGACTCAGAAAGGTTAAGTAGTTTATGCTTAAAAATGGCAATGTCACTTAATAATGGCAGTAAGGAAAGTTTGCATATGCACTTATTTATTTCTGCTGCTTGCAGCTTCCTGCTGTAGACCCATGGTATTAAAACTGGTAGCTTAAAGTCACTCTTTAGGAGCCACTGGACTTATTAGAAGTAAAACTGATTACTTCAGTCTTGCTGCTTCCATTGGAGACTGGAAGAAGAGGCTTGTATTTTTCTGGTTTAATTTTTGGTAAGGGAAGTTAATTCATTATTTATCAAATAACCTCCTATAGAGTATAATTCAGTCTTTTTCTCAGTTGTCATAGATCTATAGCAACATGAAAATGGCATGGCCATCCCTTCCTGTTCTGAGGTCTTGACTTTCAGGTTGGTCATCCAGGCTCTGGAGGGTGACAGTGGATAGGGAAAGGATCCCTATTACTGACTCTCACTGCTTTTTTAAGATTTATCTATTTATATAAGCACTGGGTACAGGCCAGATTCGCGGGAGTGTGAGAGGATTCACCAGAGACAGAGTGGGGAACAGAACAGGCAGACTGATGAAATACACTGCTGAGGGGAGCAGCGGGCGATCAGGAGAGGTCTGCTGCGCCATGTGGGACCCTCGCCAGCCAGGCTCGAACCATCGCTGCAGAGGCTGCAGACAGCCTCACAGCGTGGCGCTCAGCCACCTGCGCCACCAGGGGAGACCCCTTACTGCTTTTTATTAATTGAACTTTTTTATTTTCTTACATTGTTCATTTTTGTACAATGTTTGATTTCTCCCCTCAGGCGTAGTCCCCATAAATCTCCACCACCACATTACCTGTGAACCATCACATAGTCCCTTATGGTCTTCCCTCCCCTGTTTTGACTCCTTTCCCTCGCTGTATGCCTCAGAGCTATAGTTTGCCTGCAAGTTTTGTGTGTTTTTTTTTTTGACCCTTTGTTCAGTTTCCCTATATTAATCCTATAAGTGAAACCATCCGATATTTTTCTTTTTCCTTCTGACTTATTTCACTGAGCATAATCCCTTCCAGCTCCATCCATGTTGTTGCAAATGGCATGAATTTATCTTTTTTGATTGCTGAGTGGTATTCTACTGTGTGTGTATATATATATCACATCTTCTTGATCCATTCATCTTTTCTGGGGCATTTAGGTTGTTTCCATATCTTAGCTATTGTAAATAGTGCTGTAGTAAACAGGAGTGTAAGTTTCCTTTCGAATTAATCTTTTTATGTCCTTTGGGTAGATTCCTAGGAGTGGAGCCACTGGATCATATGGTAGATCCATTTTCAGTAATTTGAGGACCCTCCACACAGCTTTTCATAGTGGTTGGACCCATTTGCAGTGTAAGAGGATTCCTTTTTTTCCTCATCCTTGCCAGCATTTGTTGTTGCCAGTTTTTCAAATATGGGCCATTCTCACTGATTGTTCTTACCACTTCTTTTGATGTTTTTGCCACAAAAATTTGCTCGTCATTCCTTTAAACAAAAATTGGGGTAATGGGAACTACAACAATGCAAGAACAAAAAATTTAATTAATTAATAAATAATTTTTTTTTTTAAATTGTGGTACTACATAACATGAAATGAATCATTTAAGCCATTTACCAGTTCAGGAGTACTAAGGACATTCAAGGGTCTGTGCAAATATCACCACCATCCATCTCCCCAAACTGAAACTCTGTAACAATTAGACAATAACTCCACACTGCTGCTGTTCCACTTTCAGTCTCTATGAATGTAACTACTTTAGGTATCTCATATAAATGGAATCAGTTGTGTAGTATTTGTTTATTTTTGTCTGGCGCATTTGCTCAGCATGATGTCTTCAAGGCTTATTAATATAGCCCATGTCAGAATTTGATCCCTTTTTAGGACTGAATAATATTCCATTGCTGTGTGTACTGCATTCTGTTTATCCATTCATCTGTTGGTAGACACTGGTTGTTTCTGTCTTTTGACTATTGTGAATAATGCTACTATGAACAGATACCTGAGTACTTGCTTTCCATTCTTTTGGGTATATACCCAGAAGTCAGATTTCTGGGTCACATGGTAATTCTGTTTAATTTTTCAAGGAAATTTGGATACTTCTAAATGAAGGTTTTATTATGTGTTCACCTGAAGATACGAATTGGCCTTATGTTCAAGGGATTTTTCAAAAGTAATAGATTTACCCAGTTTTTCATGGCTCTCTCTTAGCTTCTGCTGCTTATATTTATATATCAGGACATCTGGCAAGTACATGGAAATACATTTCAACTTAGCAATAAAAGTAATTCTGAAAATCTTTTTAGACTGTTCAGATGATGAAGAAAATGAGAGTTTCTTTTCTAAAGTATGAAATGTATCCAGTGCAGAGGGAGCCGTTTGTCATATACAGCTCTTTCTAGTCATGCCTCTGAATGAGGATAATCATCCTAACATAAAAATTAAGGGCACATTAAGATTGTTTCATGTGTATGAACTGTGGTTACTGCTTATCTTCTGTATCCTTTCACTCATTGAAAGGATATAAAATAGTGCCTGCTAAGTGTAAAAAATAGCTAAAAATAGTGCTTTAACTGTTTCAAGAAGGTAGGTGTAACACAGGGAGTAAAATTGGCTACAGTCATTTGTGTGACTCCATTTTCTCTCCTTCCCTCCCTTCATATGTAGACACGTGTGTATGTGTTCTCTCTCTCTTTCAACCAAATATGATAGATTGGACTCGCTGCAGGAGACTGGCAATGAACTGACTCTTGGGTCTAACCTCCAGCTTCATTTTTCCTATATGTCACAAGGAAGGTAATTATCCCTGCCTCAGTCTGGAGATTATTGGGTCTCAGGCACACTTGTCATTTTCTGGGAGCCTTATGGGACATTTAGAGAGCCCACACTTAGCCTTGGAGGTGGTCTTTGCTTCTGAAATCTTTTTTCCCCCACCACCATCCCTTAAATTCTTACTTTTGTCTACTCTTTTTTTTTTTTTTAAGATTTATTTATGCATATAAGAGCTGCGGTACAGGCCAGAGATGCGGGGGTGTGAGAGGATTCACCAGAGACAGAGTGGGGAACAGAACAGGCAGATTGACCAAAGTACACTGCTGAGGGGAGCAGCGGGCAAGAGGCGCCATGTGGGTTGCTCCCTGGCCATCCTGGGATCGAACTCGTGCTGCAGAGGCTGCGGATTGCTTCGTAGTGCGGTGTTTAACCCCTTGCACCACCAGGGAGGTCCTCTTTTGCCTCCTCTTAATATCAGAAACCTCACTGTGTTTATTAGTATCTGCTAAATTTAATGTTTTCTTATGACCACTTGTCTGCTATGTAAATATCTAATATTTGTTTTTATTGTTCTGACTTGCTTTACTACACATGATTTTCTTTTTCAAGATTTATTTATTTATTTATGCATACCATACAGAGGTGTGGGGGGTGTGTGAGAGGATTCGACAGAGACAGAGTGGGGAACAGAACAGATGGATCTACTGAAATACACTGCTGAGGGGAGCAGCGGGTGAGTCAGGCGAGGTCTGCTGCGCCATGTGGGTATGTCCCTGGTTGGGGATCCAACTCGTGCTGCAGTGGCTGTGGATAGCTTCATAGGTTATGTCTTAATCCCTTGTGCCAACAGGGAGGACTTACACATGATTTTCTTGAACACTTCCATTTTGCTGTAAATGGCATCATCTTTCCTTATGAATGAATAGTATTCCATTTTGTGGATATACCACCACATCTTGATCCAATCCTCTGTTATTGGTCACTTAGGTTGTTTCCATGTCCTACCTCGCTATGGTGAATAATGTAATTTTTTTAGTTGATGGTTTCATGTTCTTTGATGATATATTTTTTTTTTTTTTTTTTTTATAGAGGCATGTTTTATTTATTTATTTGTTTGTTTGTTTTGTTTATACATGCACTGGGTACAGTCAGAAGAGCGGGAGGGTGAGAGAATTCACCAGAGCCAGAGCGGGGAGCAGAGCAGGCAGAAGGACCGAAGTACGCTGCTGAGGGGAGCAGCGGGCGGCAGGAGAGGTCTGCGCGCCATGTGGGACCCTCCTCCGGTGGCCGGGGAGCAGGCGGGGATCGAACCGGCGCCGCAGAGGCCGCGGGCAGCTTCGCAACCCAGCGCTCAACCACTGCGCCACCAGGGAGGCCCGTTTCATGTTCTTTGGATAGATGCTGCAATGTAGGTATTTCCAATTTTAGCTTTTTTAAGGTAAATTCAGATAACTTTCCAAAAATGACCGAACCAGTTCACATTCCTGCCAACAGTATAGTAGAGTTCTTCTTTCTCTGCTTGTACTCCAGCATTTGTTGGTGGTAGACTTTTTTTAATCTGCCATTCTCACGGGTGTGAGAGTGTGATTTTGATCTGCATCTCCTTTATTAAATGTGATACTGAACATTTTTTCATGTATTTTTTTGTCCTTCTGGATATCTAGCCTCTTTGTTGAATTGTCTGTTCAGATCAGCTGTCCATTTAATAATTTCTTTTATTGTTAAATTGATTTAGATTATTTAGATTATTTATTGTTAAATTGATTTAGATTTTTTGTATATCTTGGATATAGTACTCTTCATTGGTTGTGTAATGTGTGAATACTTTCTTCCATTCAGTAGGATGTCTTTTTAATATACAATACTTTATATATGTATGAATTTTTTTCTATGTAAAAGTTTCTTTTTTTTTTTTTAAAGATTTATTTATTTTTATACAAGAGCTGGGGTACAAGGGCAGAGGCTTGGGATGGTGAGAGGATTTACCAGAGACAGAGTGGGGAGCAGACCAGGCAGACAGACCAAAATTCACTGCTGAGGGGAGCAGCAGGTGAGACAGGAGAGGTCTGCCGCACCATGTGGGAATCTCCCTGGCTGGTGAGAAATCTCCCGCCCAGGCTGCAGACAGCTTCACAGCACTACGCTCAACCTGCTGTGCCATGGGGGAGGCCCATGTAAAAGTTTCTTAAATTAAGGTAGTCACAATTTCATTTTTGCTTTTACGTCCCTTGCTATAGGGGTTGAGTCTCCAAAAGCATCTTTATCATTGATGTCATGAAATGTATCGCCAATCTTTTTTTCTATGTATTTTATTGTTGTAGGGCTTATAAGTTTTCACTCCATCTTGAATTTGTTTTTTGTGCATGGAGTTAGAGAGTAATCCAACTGTCCAGTTTCCCCACCATCATTTGTAAAATAGACTCACTTTTCCCCCTTGTATGGTTGTGGTTCATTAATGATGGATTAAATATTGAGGTGTGAGTTTATTTCTGGCCTCACAGTTCTATTCCATTGACCCATGTGTGTTTTTATTCTAATACTGTATTTTAATTACTGTTGCTTTATAGTAAGCTTCGAGTGTAGTATAGCTTAAATTCAGGTTACATGATGCTTCTCTTTCTCACCTTTATTCTCAGGATTCCTTTTGTTATTTGAAGACTTTTATGGTTCCATATAACTTTTAATCTTTTTGTTTGAATTTTGTGAAGAATATTGTTGATATTTTAATGCGGATTAAGTTAAATTTATATATCACTTTTGGAAGCATAATCATTGTGGCTATATTGATTCTCCCCACCCTTTAGCATGGAATTTCTTTCCATCTCCTTATGTAATGATCTGTGTCCTTTTATAATGTCTTACAGTTTTCATTTTATAAGTTCTTCATTTCCTTTTTTAGGTTAATTCCTACATATTTGATACCTTTGATGCAATTATGAATGAAGTTATTTTCTTAATTTCTTTTTCTTCATGTATAAAAATGCAGCCTATTTTTGTATGTTGATTTTGTAATCTGCCACTTTGGTATATTCATTTATTGTTTCTAACAGCTCTCCTGCAGACATGTTAGAGTTTTCTGTACATTAGTAGTCTCTGTATAGTGTCACATTGTCTTCAATGTGAAGAATGGTTTCCCTTCTTTGGATTCCTTTTACTTCCTGCTGTTGTATGATAACTTTAACTCAGACATCTAACGCTAGATTAAATAGAAATAATGAGAGTGGGCATCCTTGTCTTGCTCCTAATCTTAAAGGGAAAGCTTTCAATTTTTCACCATTAAGTATTATATTGGCTGTAGGTTTGTGATATATGCCCCTTACTATGTTAAGGTGTGTTCTTTCTGTTTTAATCACATTTTCTTTAGAGTTTTTATCACAAATGAGTGCTGCATCTTATCAGATGCTATCTCTGTATTAATTGATATTATCATTTAGAATCTTTAAGAGTCAATTTGCAGACCTGTTCAGATGGTCAGGTCGCTGGTGCCAGTAAAGGTAGTGAGTAGAAAGGAATTGAGATAATAGGGCATCAAAACTTTGACTCTGTTGAGCTTCAAGAAGTCAAGCTTCCTGCTGTGCTGTGGGTACCTGAGTTGTGTGTTGGGGATCAACAGTGAGCCTCTCCGCTAGGTCCATTCCTTGGTCAAAATGTCTTGTGCCAGCCTCAACCTCAAGGCTGTTGTTGAGTGGTGAATGTGGCACTGGGTGAGGACTATAGTTGAACCAGGGCCTCAAGCTAGACATTTTCCTCTTTGATTTTCTTGTACAGTACCTTAACCTGTGCGTTTGTTCCACTTACTAAGATTCAGGTGCCTCAAACTCTGGTCAGTGAGAACATTTACCCCTGGGTGTGAGCAAAGCATGTATTTCACATATAAACTCAGACTACAATTAATAACCTGTTATATGAGGTGACACAGGTGATTCAATCTGACCCTTCCTTCCAACTGTCATAGTTTGGAAGCTTCAGACACAAGCCAGTAATCAGCATTCTGTGCCCTTGTTCCTGCAGTTCTCCAGCGTGTACCTTCTGTCCTGTCCGCCCACTCTGTGCGCACCCCCTTCTCCAGTACGGTGTCCTTGTTTGAAGTCCTTGATACAGGTATGTGCTTTCGAGTTAACGGCAGTAGAGGGGACACCTTATAGTAGCCACCTCCTCTCTGGGTTGTACTGCCCCCAAATGGCTCTAAACAGTTTAGTTTTTTCTTACCCTTTTCTGCCATACTATTGTTCCTGATGTATGCCATAGTTATTAGTTTATCTTCCATGGGTTGTTGTCTTTGTTTTATTGTAATTTGAGTATGAATGTGTGAAGGAGATAAGTAGGTTGTCTTCACTTTTTGCCATCTTGCTGGACTCCCTGAAATATTTCTAATGATTTAAAGTTTGTAAATATCTTCAAGTTCCTGCATATTGAAGACAGGCCAAAGGCCAGCATTCACTCTCCATTGTTAAATCCACCGTGGTGACCTGTAGGAGTAGGTTCCTGAAATACACATCACCTGCACAGATTCAGCAGAAGTCCCATGCCCTTTAAAACATTCTGTGGGGCCTGAGGATGTAGCCCTTAGCTTAAAGGCAACTTCTGCAATCATTGTCCTTTGACTCATTTGTGGTTACTGATCCTTACTATCGAATAGTTCAGATCCTAAATAACACCTTTGAATTACATGGTTACTAATTGTGTGTGTGTGTGTGTGTGTTGTATAAAATTGGCTAAGAGGTATTGGGACTGAGGAGATTTGTGATGAAGTCATAATAGGATTATAGAGTCATGATAGTTAAATGAAGATGCTTCTAGTAGTACTTTCTACTGACCTATATGGGTCTAATTTGAAAAGACTAATTTGCAGTACCTTCAGTCTTTCCTCTCTTGCATACATGTGATCTGTCTAGTTGCTGCTGTTTTAAGGCTACTGTCAGTTGTGCAGAAATAATTTCCTTTAAATTATCTACTCGGTCTCTGATTGCATCCTGTCAACGTGGTCCGCCCACTGCTGGCTTCTCTTTGCTGTCTTCTGTTACATTAATTCAAAATGTGCATTGATATGTAGTGGAAGTGACTCTTACCCTCTCACATCCTTATAGTAAATTACTTTCATAGCCTTACCTGCCTACCCTGCAAGCCCTCATTTACAAGGATCTCACCATTAAACTGCTCCCTGATATTTGAGGAAAGCAGTGAAACTTGTCTATATTAACCATGACACAAAGCTAAGGTATTATACTAGAATGGTAGGTGGTACAGAATCATGACAGACTAAACCATTAGTTTAGATAGAAACTTGATAATTTGTTATCTTACTAATCAGTACACACTAGGTTTCTTGAAATGGCTCTCTAATTCCTTGTTAAATTGATAGTGCTTTAAGCAAAGAACAAAGCATCCTAGGAAAATCTTTTTCAGCTCTGTCATGAGTCAAAGGTTATATTTTATGTAGGTTTTTTTTTTTTTTTAAAGATTTATTTATTTATTTGTACAAGCACTGGGTACAGTCAGAAGCGCGGGAGGGTGAGAGAATTCACCAGAGCGGGGAGCAGAACAGACATACGGACGAAGTACACTGCTGAGGGGAGCAGCGGGTGGCAGGAGAGGTCTGCGCGCCATGTGGGACCCTCGCTGGTGGCCGGGGAGCAGCCGGGGAATGAACCGGAGCTGCAGAGGCTGCGGGCAGCTTCACAACCCAGCGCTCAACCGCTACGCCACCAGGGGAGGCTCTTTATGTAGGTTTTTTTTTTTTAAAAAGATCTATTTATTTATGCATATAAGAGCTGGGGTACAGGCCAGAGCCGTAGGGGTAGGGGGGGAGCAGCGGGGGATTGAACCGGCGCTGCAGAAGCTGCGGGCAGCTTCGCAACCCAGTGCTCAACCGCTGTACCACCAGGGTGGCCCAGGGAGCTGAACTTTTTGATGTCTCAAATGTGGATCTACCGAATGCTGTTAGTTATGATGAGGCTAATAAAATATTAGTTATGATCAGGCTAATATACAATATTTCCATGTTGTAATATTTGTCTTCTAATTTGTTATTAATATAGGGAAGCTGTAAAACTTGTTAGTTAAGAGTACACGCCATTGGGTTCACAACTCTGACTTTCAATCTCTGCTTCTCTACCTAATCTGTCTGTGGATTTTGTTATCTAGTTTCCCTGAGCCCGTGTCCCCACATCTGCAAAGTAGGTACAGTAGTAAATCTTCCTGCATAGTTGTCATGACAGTTGAATTCTTTTTTTTTTTTTTAAAGATTTATTTATTTATGTATACAAGAACCAGGGTACAGGCCAGAGGGTTAGGTGTGTAGGGGTGAGAGGATTCACCAGAGACAGCGGGGAACAGAACAGGCAGACTGACTGAAATACACTGCTGAGGTGAGCAGTGGGCATACAGGAGAGGTCTGCTGCACCATGTGGGTATCTCCCTGACCAGGGATCGAACTCATGCTACAGTGGCTGCAGACAGCTTCATAGGTTGCATCTTAACCCCTTGCACCACCAGGGAGGCCCCTGAATACTTTTTGAAGTGAAATTCTCATAATGTAAAATTACCCCTTTGTTTACAGTTTAGTGGTATTTAGCAGTGTTATACAACCATCGTTATAGTTCTAGAACTTCTGCATTATCCCTAACATGGATCTGTTACCCTTTAAGCAGTTCCTATAGTCTCCTCTCCTTATGTCTGGTAACCACAAATCTGTTTCCTCTTTCCATGAATTTACCTTTTCTGGATAATTCAAGTAAATGGAGTCATATTGCAGACTTTTATATCTGGCTTGTTTTTACTTAGCATAGTGTTTTTCAGGTTCAGCCATGTTGTAGCATGAATTAGTACTTCCTTCCTCTTTTTATAGTGAATACTATTTCATTGTGTGTATTACATTTTGTATATCTGTTCGTGGACAGTTGTGTCATTAACTCCTTTTGGATATTATGAATAATATTTTTAAAATAAATTTAATTATTTTGGGTCTGTACCTGAGAATGGAATTGCTGGGTCATGTAGTATTTTTATATTTAACTTTTTGAGGAACTGCCATACTATTTTCCACAGTGGCTATACCATTTTACATTCCCACTAGCAATGTGCAAGGGTTCCATTTGTTCTATATTCTTGTAATATTTGTTATTTTTCATATTTTTGCTGCAGCTATGTTAGTAAGTGTGAAGTGGTAGCTCATTGTGAATTTAATTTGCACTTCCTTGGTGACAAGTGACATTGAACATATTTTGTGCATTTGTTGGGCTTTTGTGTGTCTTTGGAGAAATGTCTATTTAAATCTTTTCCCATTTTTCCACTGGATCGTCTTTTTATTGAGTTATGATCATTGAGTTTTAATGACTATAATTATTTCAATGTGTGCACATAGTATACACTCACTAAATATTAGTTAATAATATTATATAATATTTTTGCTACATGTGACCTGAATTGGAAGGAAACTGCTTAACTTTTCCAAATAGGAGTGGTGAGGCAATAAAATATTGTTTCTTATCAGTAAAGATTTTATTATGTTAGTGTTAATACTTTGCTTTTAGTTGATTTTCCCCAAATCAGGAAATTAGAAACACAAATGTATGAAAGCAGTTTTTCTTTTGACAGAAATCAGTGTATCATTAATGTTTAATTAAATCCTAAGAACTATAAAGCAGTAGTACCATCTGGTTACAGTTGAGATTTAGGTCATCTTTCTTCATTCTACCCTGTTATGAGATATTTGTTATAAATGCCACAATCAGAACCTTTGAAAAGTAGGTAAGAAATCCTATGGTATTACAGTGTGGTATTATTATTTTTATGCTTACTGCAACTTGGCTTTATGAGCTGGTGGAAAGAAGTCATAGGAGAATCGGAGATCAAAGTAATTATTAATTTAGAGTACTACCCCTCTAGTTAGGATTGTATCTTCTTGAACTGATGAATATATTCTTTTAGGTTTATAGGAATTTGAAGTGAGGTGCAGTAGCTTTAAGCAGAATATACTGAAATCTATGCACGTCTAAATGTGGTTATTTTCTTTTAAAAGGCAGCAAAGGGAAGTGTAGTGATTATTCAAGTCCCTGGTGATTATTTAAGTCCCTCTTGAAGGCCCTCTCCCCCTTGTACTTCCAAGCTTTGTTCTTTATGCCATAGCTCTGAACCCTTCCATCTTTTGTGATGTCTCTCCCTTTGGCCATTCTGTGAACTCTGCCTGGAATTGTGTTCTAAAGCAGTTGGTGACTCCTTCCTAAAGTCTCTGAGGCAGACCATACACTCCTTTTGGGTATTTAAAATCTGTTTCATACTTTCCTAATAGCACCTGTCATAGAGTACTTTCAAAAGTGCTCATTAAATTTTTTTAAAGCGATGCATGTGCATTACCAGTGCAGCAGTAAATGGTGAAAAGATTCCTCCGTTTTCTTCTCTAAAGGCAATCTCTGATAGTACTTTTTCTTATCTATTCTAGAATTATTCTATGCTGATATAAGAATTTTTATAGTGTGTGAAATACTTGCTTTTATCCTATTTTTTATTGCACAGGAACTTGTAAGTCTTGAAAAGTTCACACATAGAAATTAATACAGAGTGAAAGGTGAAAGATCCCTTTTACTTTGCTCCTTCACCCTTTCCCTCCCAGTGATAACACTCCTTCCCAGTAACATTTCTCCTTCCGGAGGTCATCTCTCTTGTAAACACGGTGTGCAGCCTTTCAGATTATTTTGCTTATAGTTACATATTCATATATATTTATATGTATTGTTGTTTTTATGATTTTATGTATTCTGTAACTTCCTCTTACTCTTTTTACTTATGCGTGTTCATTCCCATGATATGTACATGCTATTTTATTTAGGCATTTGCTAATTGATAGAGATATGTATAGCTATAGGGATATAGATACGGGGATATTTATATCTGTATATATATTGATATCTCCATAGAAACATGTCAACAGGGAACTTACCTATGTTTTCTTCTGTGTATTTTATGGTTCCAGGTGTTACACTCAAGTCTTTAATTACTTTTGTATTAATTATTTCATTCTTTTGTATGTGACTGTCCAGTTTTCCTAACACCATTTATTGAAGACTCCTTCCTTCCTCCATTATATATTCTAGGCTCCTTTG